GTTCTCTGATTGCTTGATTTTTTTCTACTCTGTCTTCTAATTCACCAATCTGATCCTCACTCCTAATCTGCTGTTTATTCCTTCCACTGTGTTACTAGTGCTATGTCCTTCTTTAGTTCTGACTGGTCTTTTTTCATAGTTACTATATCTTTTCTCATGCTGTTGAGCATCTTTGCCATCATTATTCTCGACTCTATATCTGATAAATTTCTTATCTCCATTTTGTTTGGTAATAAGAGAATTCTGGAGAATTCTCTAGTTAATTCATTTGGGGGTTGTTGGTATGTTGTTGTTGTTTTGTTGTTGTTGTTGTTGTTGTTTTTTATCTCCCCATTAGGGCTTCCTGCTTGTCTTTGTATCTGTGTATTAGGTAGATCTGCTATGACTCCAAATCTCTAGTGCAGGACTATGTCAGATGCTATTTCTGACTGGCCCTGAGTACTCTGTTTGAAGCTGTCAACAATTCAGAGGGGTTCCCTCTGCTGGGGCTGTGTGTCTTTTAAAAAGGATCAAGACATGCACAAGGGTCTGCTTTTCCTAATCTTGGGCCCAGAAGGTGATCAGGCAAAGATTCAAAGCCTCCAGAGACCCATCTCTGCCTGCAGTCTGATTTCATTCATGTTTGATTAGTCTCAGGCTACCAACCACAGGATGGAGCAAGAGGTGTTCCAACAGGATTAAGCAGCTGCTTTCCCCCAGGAGGAAAATCGCCTGGATAGCAAAGGTCCACAGAGAAAGATCTCCTATGCAGCATGAGTGAATGACTCGGCACAGAAACCAGGATGGCTGCCCTCTACGCTCGAACCCTCAAGCTCCCAACTCTGGTCTGTTCTCACACATCTCCATTCCACACTGTCCTCCTTCTGCCAGAGCCCAAGGTGAGTGACTGCACAAAATTTTTGTGTGTTGGCCCTTTAAGAGGGTGACTGCATTTTTGCTGTCTCTGACTGGCTGACAGAAGCCCTGCTTTTCATAGCCAGGTGTTATATGAGCACCTTTACCAGTTCTGGTTCTCAGAGTTTTTGGTGGGAACCCTCCACAGCTGAGATATTGCTCCAGATCTTCAGCTGTTGTCTGTGGGACCCAGATAGCCCTTTCACATTTCCACATTTCCTTAATTACCATTCTTTATGCAGTCTCCACTTTCTGTCCTTAGTTAGCAGCATTCTCTTCAGCTAGTCTCCAGTTGATTTTTCAGGGTGGTGTTTCTATATTTTAGTTTTATTTCCATTTTGGTCCAGAAGAATATCAGTATAGCTTCCATTTACTCCGCTGCCATTTTTAAGCCTCGGATACCACACTGTCTTAATTATTGTACTTTAAGTGTAAAGCAGCCTTAATGTTGGGTAGAGTGATTCTTCTACCTATTTTTCAAGACTGTTTATCTGTTCCAGGACCTGCACCCTACCATATAAATTTTAGAATAAACTTGTCTGTGCCAACAAGAAGCTTTGCTAGGATTGTGATAGGAATCTCATGCTAGACCTGGAGACTAATGTGGGGAGAATGGAGTCCTCCAGTCCACAAACACAGAATATGTTTTTATTTAGTTAGGTTATCTTCGACTTTTTCTGTCAGCATGTTGTAATCTGAGCAAACAGATTTTACACACGTTGTGTTCGGTTTGTAACTTTTGTTTTCTTTGGAGTGGTTATAAACAATGCTGTGTGTTGCACCCCAGTTCCCACATGCTCACTGTGAGTATCTGGAAATGTGGTTGAGTTTTGTGCATTGTTCTTGTATCCTGCAACCTTACAGAACTCACTTAGTTTTAGGTTTTTTTAGGGGGAGGATTTTAGATAATCATGTCATCTGCCAACAGAAACTTTTTTCTTCCTTACTTATGTGTATGTTTTTATTCTTTTTCTGTCCTATTGCACTGACCAAGACTTCCATCACAGTGTTTAATAGTTGTGGTGAGAACAGACATCTCTGCCTTGTTCTCACTCATAGGGGAAAGCATTCATCTTTCTCCACTAAGTATGAAATGAGTTATAAGGTTAGTAGAGGTATTTCCCCTCTATTCTTATTTGCTGAAAGTTTTGTCATGAGTGGGTGTTGGAATTTTTCCAAATGCTTTTTCTGCAATGATACAATCATATGGATTTTTTTTCTTTAGCTTGTTGATATGATGAATTACATTGATTGACTTTAAATGCTGACTCAGACTTACATACCTAGTATGAATCCCACTTGATCATGGTGTATAATTCTTTTCATACATTGCTAAATTCAATTTGCTAATATTTTGTTGCAGATTTTTGCTTCTATGTTCATAAGGGATATTAGTTTGTAGGTTTCTCTTTTTTGCACAATCTGCCTGGTTTGGGTGTCAGGCAGGGTAATACTAGCTTTCTAAAATGAGTTGTGAACTATTACCATCTCCTCTATTTCCTAGAAGGTATTTCATAAAATTGGTGTTATTTCTTCTTTAATTGTTTGATAGAGGTCTCCAATGAAACTATGTGAATATGAAGATTTCTTTTCTTGGTGCCTCTTTTTTTTTTTTTTTTTTTTTCAATTACAGTTGACATTCAATATTATATTAGTTTCAGGAATACAACACAGTGGTTAGGCATACAAAGTTATTGCAATATTATTGACTACTAAAGGCCCAGTGCATGAATTCGTGCATAGTTGGGGTCCAGTGGGGGGGGGGGGGGTGTTGCTAGGACATATCAGCTCTCCAAGAGGGAACTGGGACACCCTTGCTGGCCTGGGATCCGGATTTATCCCGCTGATGTTCACACTTGTTGTCCGAGCCACCTGGCGGCCACTTTTATATCCTTTCTCCCTTGTGGAGTGACTAGAGAGGGGAAGCGGCCATGGTGCAGGAGGCCTACTTCCAGGAGGCCGGCAGCACTGTCGGGATCATGCTGGTGGCTCTATTCCATCGGTGCCTGGCCCATTCTCTGGAGACTGAACATCCAGGACTATTGAGAAAGTGGCTGTCACAGGTGGACCGCCAGGACGGGTCTATCATCTGAGCAGTGCTCCCACTGTGGGAGCACACTGACCACAAGAGGGCAGCTCCTGCATTGAGCATCTGCCCCTGGGTCAGTGCACATGATAGCAACTGTTCGTTTCAGTCATTCCTGTTGTTCAGGTCATTTGGTTATTCTATCACTTAGGCTTTTATATATATAGATGCTCCCTATGATGTACTTTGTGTTCCCATGACTGTGTTGTAATTGCCAATTATACTTCTTACTCCCTTCACCTTTTTACCTAGTCCCCCCACCCTTTCCATATGGCAACTATTAGTTTGTATCTACTAGTATAAGTCTGTTTCTTATTTACATCAATTTTTAAAAAATGATAATAGGACTATTCATGTTGTTTATTTCATCTTGGTTGAGTTTTGGTAGTCTAGTTTGGGAGGAATTGGTCAATGTCTCCTAAGTTGTTTAATTTATGAGTAGAAAGTTGTTCATAGCATTACCTTATAATCATGGTAATGTCCCCGTTTCATCCTGATATTGATGATTTGTGGTTTCTCTCTTTTTATCTTCTTCAGTCTTACTAGAGGTTTGTAAACATTATTGATTTTTTTTTTTTTTGAAGATCCAGCTTTTTGTTTTACTGATTTTTCTATTGCTTTCCTCTTATTACTTGCTTCCTTCTTGCTTTGGTTTTATTTTGCTCATCTCTTTCTAGAAGTTTCTTAAGACAGGAACTTAGAATATTGACTTGAGAAATGTCCCATTTCATGTAAGCATTCAGGGCTATAAACTTCCCTCTCACTACTTTAGCTGCATCTCACACACATATTTGATATGTTGTATTTTCATTATAATTTCCAAATTTGTGTACATCAAACAATAGAGCCTCAATATCCATGAAGCAAAAACTGTTAGAGCTGAAGGGAGATGTAGACAAGGGCATCAAGGAATTCAACAACCCAAGAAGTCTGATTGACACCTATACAGCAGCATCAGAATGTGCCTTATTTTCAAATGGCTGTGCAACATTGACCAATCTGAGCAAATGTAAAAGGAATGAAATCACTGGGGTTTATTCTCTGACCACAGTGGAATCAAACTAGAAATAAGTGCCAGAAAAGCACCTGGAAATTTTTCAAACACTTAAGCTAAACAACACCTATTCTTTTTAAATTGATTTTAGAGAGGGAGAAACAATGATTTGCCATTTCACTGGTTTACGCATTCATTGGTGATTCATATATGCCCTAACCAGAAATCAAACTCACAACCTTGGCTTATCAGGATGATGCTTCAACCAACTGAGCTACCTGTCCAAGGCTACAACACATAACCCATGGGTCAAATAGTCTCAAAGGAAATTAAAACATACATTTTTCAAATTTTGGGGTTTTTTGTTTGTTTGTTTGTTTTAAACATATTTTATTGACTTTTCAGAGAAAGGGATAGAGAGTTAGAAACATCAATGAGAGAGAAACATCGATCAGCTGCCTCCTGCACACCCTCCCCCCACCACACTAGGGATGTGCCCGCAACAAAGGTACATGCCCTTGACCGGAATCAAACCTGGGACCCTTCAGTCCACAGGCCAACGCTCTATCCACTAAGCCAAACCGGTTTCGGCAAATTTTTGCTTTTTAATTAAATCATAAATAGTCTATTCCCTAATTTGATGCTAACATCTGATGTAAGAAAAGATTTTGTATGAATAATCTACTCCAAACCAGAAATCTGAATGGGCTCTTCTTCCTTGGTTCATCCACCACTGGTAAAGATAGTGCCCCTAGCACATGGTCCCGGTCAGTGAGCACTGAGCCATGCCCACCACAGACCCACCAGAAAAAGTGGACAGGTGCTAAGACCGAATGACTGTTCCTACCTGGAGCATATGTGGAAGAGGCACTATGCCCACTCAGGGGCTGGGCTGACACATGCCATGATCAAGGCCTGCCTCCTGCTCCTAAAGGCCCCTCCTCAGGGCTGGAGTCCAATGTCTGCAGACTCATGGCATTCAGGCTCTTCCCTTTCCCCTCTGGCCTATGGGGCTCTAACACTGAGACCATCATGTTCAGTCAGGTGCCCCTCTCCTGGGGTTTGCCAGTTCACAAGAGGAGATGTGGAGTCATGCCAAGCCTCCCCAGTGGTCAGCAGCATCCCTGGAATTGGCCCTGACCCAGGAGCAACTTCAATGTTACCAGGTTCCTCTGAAGCCAGGGAGTCAGGGCTGTCAGCTTAGTAGGGATCCAGATGCCAGCAGCAGCGGAGAGACAGGGATCCTGAGGAGCCTTCACTGTGGGAGCCTGAATCACAGCCCACCAGATTGGACCTGTCTTTCCCATGACTTCATCCTGCAGACTCAGCAGCCTGGATTCCTGAGATGTAGGTGCCAGGCCATGTGGTCCACTGTATCTTTTGGACCCTCCAGCCGGCCAGGGTGTGCTGACTACAGGGCAGAGAGCAGCAGCACCCCCTGCAAGGACACCTGATTTACCTCCATCTCCTCCTGCCTGTGTGCAGTCTGGTCTTAATCACAAAGGTGGCACCTCTTCAGGCAGTCTGTCTCTGCTCCAACTTGACCTATGGTGGGAAGAATTTCCTGAGATGCTGGGTGCCAGGTGAGGTGCTCTTCTGTCAGTGAGGGGGACTGCTGGTGTCACAGCTGGGCCAGCGGGGCCCAACAGGTGTCCTCCTGGGCCAGACCACAAGTTGGTTCTGTCTACGTCTGTGTCCCTCCCAAGTGCCAGTCCAGCCCTGTGGCCACTGTGAGGTGGGCAGAGGTTTAAATGTGCAGCAGGGATATATTGACTGAAAACCGATTTAAGGAGAACAAATTAACTATCTGAAAAAGTCACACAAGCCTGGCTTTGCCATAAACAATTTTCAGGTGGATTAAAGGAACATTAAAATAATGAAAATAAAATACAGGAGTGTTCCAATACAGTGAGAAAACTCTTCGTCAGCATAGGAAGAAAATACTGGCAAAGGCAGGGTAAAATGCACATTTTTTTGTAGGGCTCACTAACCACATCAAAACTTTGACCCAGTCTCTAGGCGTTTATGCTAGAAAAATAACAGAGAGGCACAAACACTGTAGGCAGGGATAGTTATCAAAGCATCATTTGTAATAGTACAAAATTATAAACAGTATAAGCGCCCTCCAGAGGGGATCCATTTTCAAATAACATTTCCAGGACAATTTAACTGTCTAAAGACATGAGACAATTTCTGGCTAAAGATGACTGCTGAGCCCACACATTGACTTCTTCCTCCCCAGACCTTGCTAAAATGATGATAAACGAAGAACATGGAAGACCTATGGGACAAAGTGGCCTGGAGAAGTGGAGGAGAGACGACAACAGATTTTTGAGAGGAAGAACCCAGACCACTGATTTGGCCAAGTGGAGAGCTGCTGCCAAAAGGAGAGTGGGTCTCCCGGGCACAGCTCTGGGGACAAGCATGGCTGGCAGGAGGACGAGGTGGAAAAGGGGGTGTGGAGGCAGGCTAACTGTCTGCACTGGGGAGACTTCTGCTCCAGCCAAGATGAAGTAATAGGGACCAGATTTACCCTACCCCTTAAACAACAGAGAAATAGACAACGTTGATGGAAAGGTTTTGGACGTTAGACAGCAGGCAGCATAGAGCAGTGACCCCGAAGGGTGAACAGTGCAGTGAGCCCAGGTTCCCACATGTAGAACAGGCAGGGGTCCAGACCGAGTCCCAGACTGAGGAGACAGCCAGAATCCAGGAGACTGTTATGGCTATGTTGTGCCGCCTCCCTTCAATTCACATGTTGAATTCACATGTTGTGCCCCCTCCCTTCAATTCACATGTTGGAGCCCAGCCCCCAGGACCTCAGGGTTACTGTATTTGGATAGGGGCTTTTACAGAGGTGATAAAGGTGAAATGAGGCCATCAGGTTGTCCCTAGTCCAGAGAGGGAGAGAGTAGAAGTGAGATTGGGGCCCTGTGAGATGAGGGGGAATCGGGTGGTCCAGTCCATGCCTACCACCCTGCTGTGCCTCGGTTTGCCCATGTAGTGCAAGGTTGGGCATTTGAGCTGAGATTCTGTGACTCTCAGAAATGACACATTGCCTAGGAGGGCCAGGCCTGAAGCAGGATGTGTGTAACCAACATCTGTTTTTCCAATGTCACAGTTTTTCCCAGGATCAAGGATGGGTGGAGACTGCTGCTCCCTGAGTTAATTCTCTGACAGACCCAGCTGACTGGTCCATGGCGGAGAAGTGCCTTTTACTAACTCTAGTGTCCACCTCAACCAGGCAAGCTCCCCACTGTGGTTTTCCCGTCTGAGCAAAGCAAGCTGAATGCATGTGCCCCATTTTCAGTGCCTGGAGGTCACTGGAGAGGCCAGAGTGCAGAAGAGCCAGGGGACACCAGAGAATCAGAAAGACACCAGGGAAGCAGATCACACAGGGCCTTGTGCTGCGCAAGCAGCCATACAGGTCTGGAGCCCAGGGTGTGGTCTCTAGGGCTGAGGGGCAAGGATAGGATCAGGAACTGTTGGCCATGTGCTTGGACCAGAGAGCTGGCGGTAGCAGACAGGCTCTGGCCATCCTACAGGGAGCGCTCACAGGCCTCCCAACACTTGGGACAATGGACTACGGTTCTGCCAGTAACATGAAGAAGACCAATGGGACAAAATGACCTGGAGAAGTTCAGCTAGTTCTGTCCCCAGTCCAGCGTTCTGGTGAGAATGCAACTGCCCACCCTTGTTATCTGCCTGGCGGGGCCCTGTGCAGAGGGCTCAACCACACTGCACCAACTTTGTCTCCTGACGACATGATACATGAGTGTTTTAAACTCGCCTTTTGCTGATTTTTTTTCATGGCAACCAACAACAAATATAACTGGTGCTGAGCTTCAAGGGATCTCTTCAGACACGACTTTGCACATTGATGTTAATGTAGTTTTCAGCAGGCAAAGGCCACATAAGTCACGGATCTCTCCAGGCTGCCCCACATTCTAGTGACCACTCCTTCTCTCCACCTCCTATTTTGCCACCCAGAAAAGACTGTTGGGAGACCTGATTGCTGACAGATCCTTTCAGAATCACTCATCACAAGTCCAGGACATTTAAAAAGCCCTCCCTCAACCTGGGACTCTCGACAGCTCCCCAGGCAGCATGAATCAGAACACTCAACCCAGCTTCAGTATAAGGAGACCTCTGGAGGTCTATCTGACAGAGAGCTTTGAGTGTTCCAGTCTTGCCCACTCCCACCAATCTAAACCTGACACAGAACTCAGTTATAGATTCTGACCCCTGCTTCTTGTGTCCACAGATGAGTTCATTTCAGAGCTATGCAAAAGCCCCAGGATGGGGTGTAATTACACTCCTAGGCAGGTGGAGAGCGCTTATTGGGTCCTACACTGTCCTGCCAGGTGCCTGCCATACCATCGAAGCTAAGAGTAACAGTCCACACAAATGGCTCACAGCATCTTTGAAGGGTCTGGACCCTTTGCTCATCCCGCACCCTCTTGGCCTCATGGGTTGACCCAGACCTAGGCTGCCTCTGGCCCTTCCTAATTCACTATGCTTGACAGGGCTGGAGGCCCCAGAGGACAAAAATCTGGAAATGCCACTATTTCAGAATAAAGGCCACCTGACACTAGACCATCTGAAGTTGAAGCAGCATGGCCCATCACTCAGGGACCTAACATGAAACATGAACAGGATATTGGTTCCAAAAGAACCAAGTGAAACAGGATGTGAGAGGTGGAGAGAAGGCAGGCTGCCAGGGCTTTGGGATCTGAGGGAAGATGCTACAATGAGTCCTATACTCCTTCTGTCCATAGATCCTAACATGGGTGCTAGAGAACCCAAAAGGCCAGTGATAACAAGGGGTGCAGACCAAAGAACCCTATGAGAATCTGCCTCAGAACATTTCACCCCAAAACTGCAGAATGTACATTCTTCTCAAGTGCACATGGGTCATTCTCAAAGATAGATCACGTGTTAGGATACAAAATAAGTCTCTGCAAGTTCAAGAAGATTGAAATCATATCAAGCATATTCTCATATCGCAATAGCATGAAACTAGAAATTAACTACAATAAAAACATTCAAGCCGGAACCGGTTTGGCTCAGTGGTAGAGCGTCGGTCTGCGGACTGAAGGGTCCCAGGTTCGATTCCAGTCAAGAGCATGTACATCGGTTGCGGGCACATCCCTGGTAGGGGGTGTGCAAGAGGCAGCTGGTCGATGTTTCTCTCTCATTGACGTTTCTGGCTCTCTATCTCTCTCCCTTCCTTTCTGTAAGAAATCAATAAAATATTTTATTTTTTTTTTAAATTCAAACATTCGGAGGCTAAATAGCATGTTAATGAGCAGTGAATGGATTACCAATGAGATCAAGAAAGAAACCAAAAATTTCTTGGACACAAATCAAAGTGAACACCTGAGAAAAAAATCTATGGGACACAGCCAAAGCAATCCTCAGAGGGAAGTTTATAGTGCCACAAGCCTATCTCAAGAAACAAGAAAATTTAATAATAAACTTTTTTACACTACAACTTAAAGAATTAGAAAGAGAACAATAAGAAAAGCCTAGAGTAAGTATAAGGAGGGAAATAATAAAGATAAGAGCAGAACTAAATGACATAGAGACTAAAAAGAACAACACAAAAGATCAATGAAACCAAGAGCTGGTTCTTTGAAAAGATAAACAAGATTGATAAAATATTAGCCAGACTCATCAAGAGATAAAGAGAGAGAACCCGAATAAATGAAATCACAAATGAAATAAGTAATGTAATAACTGACACCACAGAAATGAAAAGGATTGTAATAAAATATTACAAAGAACTGTATGCCAAAAAATTGGCCAAAACCGGTTTGGCTCAGTGGATAGAGGGTTGGCCTGCAGACTGAGAGGTCCCGGGTTCGATTCCGGTCAAGGGCATGTACTTTAGCTGTGGGCACATCTCCAGTAGGGGGTGTGCAAGAAGCAGCTGATCAATGATTCTCTCTCATCGATGTTTCTAACTCTCTATTCCTCTCTCTTCCTCTCTGTAAAAAATCAATAAAATATATTTTTTTAAAAAATTGGACAACCTGGGTGACATGGACAAAACCCTAGAAACATACAATCTTCCAAAACTGAATCAGAAAATCTGCATAGACCAATAACAATTAAGAAAATTAAAACAGTAATTTAAAAAACTCCCACCAAATGAAAGTCAAGGACCTGACAGCTTCACAGGGGAGTTTTATCAGTCAGTCAAAGAACTAATAATCCTCCTCAAACAATTTTTTTAAAAATCAGTAGGAAGGAACACTTCCAAGTTCTTTTTATGAGACCTGCATTATCCTAATTCTAAAACAAGATAAAGACACTACAAAGAAAGATAATTCAGGCCAGTATCCCTGATGAACATATATGACAAAATCTTCAACAAAATATTAGCAAATTGGATCCATATATATATAACATATATTTTATTGATTTTTTACAGAGAGGGAGAATGAGAAACATTGATCAGCCACCTCCTGCACACCTCCCACTGGGTATGTGCCTGCAACCAAGGTACATGCCCTTGACCAGAATCGAACTTGGGACCCTTGAGTCAGCAGGCCGATGCTCTATCCATTGAACCAATCCGGTTTCAGCTGGATCCACCAATATATTAAAAATATTATTCACCATGACCAAGTGGGATTATCCCAGTGATACAAGGCTGATACTATATTCACAAAGCAAAAAATTATATTACATTTTGTTTATATTATAAACAAAATGAAAGATAAAAACCACATGTACATATCAATAGGTTCAGAAAAAAACATTCGACAAAATCCAGCATCTGTTTTTTATTAAAACCTCTCAGTAAAGTTGGAATAGAGGAGTCATACCTCACCATATATGACAAACATATAGCCAATGTTACACTCAATGTGCAAAAACTAAAAGTGTTTCCCACTCTTACTCAACATTAGAGGCTTGGTGCACAGGTTGGGTCCCTAGGCCTGGCTGTTGATCAGCACCTCCCGCTCACCTACTCCACCATCCTGTCATGGTCCCGCTCTCAGCAGGGCCCATCGGGGCCAGCAGCACCTCCACTGCCACCAGCTGCCAGCACCATGTAACTGATGCCCACCATGTTCCGTGCCACCCCCTGGTGGTCAATGCACATCTAACTCCCAGTCGGTCAAACTCCTGCCTGTGGGGACAATTTGCATATTATACTTTTATTATATAGGATAGTACTGAAAGTCTTAGCCACAGTCATCAGACAAGAAGAAAAAATAAATGGCATCCTTATTGGAAAGGAGGAAGTGAAACTGTCATTATTCACAAGTGACGTGATATTGTACATAGAAAACTCTAAAGATTACCCTAAAAAAAAAAATTTAAAAAAAGCTAGTTTAATAATGAATAATGATTTCAGCAAAGTAGCAGGATATAAAATTAACATCCAGAAATCAATGAAATTTTGTACACCTATAATAAATTATTTTTAAAAATCCCATTTACCATTGCAACAACAACAAGATACATTGGAATAAACCAATAGATAAAAGACTTGTAAACGGAAAACTACAAGATGTTGAAAGAAGAGATAGAGTAAGATATAAACAAGTGGAAGAATATACCGTGTTCATGGATTGGAAGAATTAACGTAAATGTCCATACAACTCAAATCAATCTATAAATTCAACGCAATCCCTTTGAAAATATCAATGGTATCTTTCAGAGATCTAGAACAAGTACTCCAAAAATTTATATCGAACTAAAAATACCCCAAATAGCCACAGCAATCTTGAGAAATAACAAAGCTGGATGAATCACAATACCAGATATCAAACTACAGCAGTCCTTGGGTTATGTAAGAGATTCGTTCCTACAGCACAACGTAACTCAATTTTCACCATAAGTTGGAACCCACCTACAGAAGCGCCTACATCACTCACATAGTGCACAAACACAGCAATAAAGAAGTGAAACAGTAAAAAAAAAATTTTAAAGAAAGATAACAATTTCTGATCTTTACTATGGTAAATAAACAATAACATAAAGCACATATGTTGAAATAACAAAACTTTTAAAAATATATAAATACTGTAAATGTAACCATGAAATGACGTAAGTCAAGTCCGATGTAACCCGAGGACTGCCTGAATACTACAAGGCCATTGTAATCAAAACAGCCTGGTACTGGCACAAGAACAGGCACATAGATCAATGGAACAGAACAGAGACCTCAGAAATCGACTCAAGCCATTATGCTCAATTAATATTTGACAAAGGAGATAAGAGCAAACATGGATTAAAGGCAGTCACTTCAATAAATGGGGGGGGGGGGGGGGGGGGGCAGCAGAGTAAGTGGAAGCTACACTGACACTCTCCCAAAACCAAATTTGAAATGCAACTAAAATAGATAAAAACATCCTAAAAAATCAACTGAAGAGAACCCTGATAATGAAGGATGGAAAGTGGAGACCATAAAGAGACTGGTAGGAAGGACAGAGGTACAAAAAGACTGGCCAGGCTCCCACAAATAGCAGCTGAAGGTCCAGAGGAATATATCATCTGTGGGAGGCTCCCACTGAAAACTGTGGTCTAAACCCCAAGCTGGGCTCCCTGACCCAGAGAAC